CTAGGAAAGGTATCCACAGTTTGGTTTCTGTGCCTTTGCAACTATGTAAAAAGTCTTTGTTCAACTGTTTAAATTTTTAGCAGCCCTTAAGTGGATGGAAGGTACGCAGACTTCAAATTTGTGAGGGCGAAGGGGAGCACTGATTTATTTCAGCAATTTGGATTTGGAATTTAATTTCCATCTTCTCTGAACAAAGGGGAGCTCTCCGTCTACTCTCTCTCTCTCTCTTTTTCACACACACACATCTTCGTTCCATAATGAAGACAGCCAAAGCGAAAGAAGCTTAATACAAACTTTGAGACTTTTAAGACGACCCCATAGCGTGGCGCTGATAAGATATTCACCGCACCGCAGGCTGTTGGGCAGTAAGTACACCAGAAGATATGTGTACCCCACAAGTCAAGTGTAGACAACCAGAAGAGAAAAACAGTATGTATTTGTTTCTGCAGACTGGAAAAAGTTAGCCAAAGAAAACCTTAACATTTTTCGAGTTTATCAATGTCCTAATAGAACTGAGGACTTCCTCATCTCCTCTGAGCTGTGTGTTGGGCCTGGTAGCTCCTCTGAGCTTTTCATGCTGGAGGGTTCCTGGCTGAGAAATCGGGCCTGGATGCTAGAACAGCACGTGGCAGAGGCCTGCAGTGGCTGCTTATTATCCTCACGCTGCCAGCGTCCCTTTTACCTTTCTAGCAGCATCCCAAATTTACTGGGGCAATAAAATCTCCCCCATAGCATAGTCTTCGTGGAAGGACCCGATGCTTTCCCTCCTTCATCTGTGATTCAGAATGGGTGAAAGAGGAGATACAAAGCTAGGCTCGGCCAGTCTGGGGTATATTCCAGTGACTTTGACCTTGGGTGAGTGGCCCAAAGATGGAGACTGGTGGAGGCCATTCCCTGTGTCAGGACGGATGGCACACCATTCTGATGGAGTTTTTCTGTGATGCAGTTGGTGTGCTTTTTGCGTCTTGGTTTTCTGGAGTTCTCTGGGTAACTGCTTCTCCAAGCCTGGCTCCCAGCATCTTGGGGATCCTTGAGATTTTAGATAGTATTCCAACAATTTCCCTTTGGCTTACATTAGCTAAAGTTCTTCCCTGTTGCTTGCTACCAAAGGCCTTAAATGAGAGGGTACAATAAATATTCCTAGAGTGAATGGATTAGTAGAATGAAGACAGGCCTGGGCTGTATTTCAAGCCTTTTGTGACTTTGCTTTTGTCATAATCAGAGAATTATCTGTAGATAGATTTTCTTGGAACTTGGAAAAATACTGAAGTTTTATATAACTTTCCTTCTGGAGGCAAAGCTAGTTTTAAAAATCATTGAACCTAACTTCTAAATATATGCTTGTCGTATGGTGGTTAGCAAATACAGGTAAGCATAATAAAGAATGTAAAAATATTCACATGAATCTTTCTATATAATAAATACCAATAGACAAAATCATGTTTAATGCCTGGATGGTATCTCATGGTAGAGATAATATATTTAGCTAATCTCCTATTGTTGGACATTTGGGTTATTTCCAATTATTTACTCTTATAAAAGATCTTGCTGCAGTGAACATGTTCTTAGGTCAACCTTTGTGCACATAGACTTACTACTCTTTAGGACACATTTTAAGAAACAGAAGTGCTGGGCAAACATGAGTTTGCATGTTTATAATGATTTTACTTGAAGTAATAGCCTTTTTAAAATAGGACTGCTTTAAAAAAATAGCCCTTTTATTGTGGCATTCTTTTTCAGTAAAAGCAAAACAAAACCAGAAACAAACGAACATTAAATAAAGGAAAGAAAAAGTCTACGGTTCAAGCCATGCATCAGCGCACTCTATTTAAAACCACATTGCATTAACGGAGGTGTTTCTATCGATCACCCCAACTAAATAGAGACAGATAGTGCAAGAAATATTTATTAATAGCTTGTCTGCTCAACACAATCAGACACTGCACTTGCTTTCCTATCCATCCATTCAAAGCAGTTATTGGGTTCCTACTATGTGCCCGGCACCGTGCTAGGGGTTGGGACACAGAAAGGGAGGTAAGACCTGGTCTCCACCTTGGAGGCTCTCACCATCCATTGAGTCTTGCAGACCCAGAAATAACTTAGAAATCAGCACAGCGTGGCGGTAACTGCTACAGTGAGAGATGAACATGGTGTTGTGAGAGCAGAGAGCCAGGAGCAGTTTTGACCTGAGCATTTGGAGTCCTGTCCTCAGTCTTATTCCCTTCTCTCCCATTAGAAAACACCATTTGATGTGGGAAATACACGTGGACAAATACGAAGTTCTGGAGAATCAAAGGGAGAGATCAGGAATGGCTCCATGGAACCCACGTGCACTGGAAAGTGTCAGGGCTGGCAATGTCTCGGCGGAGGGGGTGGGGGCACTCTGGAGAGGACATTGTACACCAGGACAGATGACAGAAGAAAATAAGGTGTACAGGGAACAGACAGAGCTCTTGAAAGCCAAGGTTTTGGGTAGAGCAAGGTGGTTGAAAATAGGATTGCTGTTCATAGCAAGATAAGGCATTGGCGTGCCCCTTCATAAATAAAAGAGATGCACTGTGATTAGTTAGCTGTTGCTAATGCAATAAGTTATTTAGTGGGTTAAAGCAACACAAATTTATTGTTGCCGTATACTTCTCTGACTTAGGAGTCTTGACATGAATCTCATTGCACGAAAATCAAGGCGTCCACAGGGCTGCCTTTCTTTCTGGAGACTTTAGAGGAGCATCTGTTTCCTTGCCTTCCCCAGCCTCTGGAGGCCATCTGCATTCCTTGTCTTGGGATGCTTTCTTCCGACTTCAAGGCCAGTAACAGCTGCTCAAGTCCTTCTCAGCTCATCATTCTGATCTCATTTTGTGCCTCTCGCTTCTACTTTCATGGACACTTGAGGGACCCACCTATACAATCAAGGATAATCTCCCATCTCAAGGCCCTTAACTTAATCATAACTGCGAAGTCCCTTTTGCCCTGCGAGGTAACATAGACACAGGTTCTGGGGATTAGGACATGGTTATCTTTGGGAAGCCGCTTTCTGCCTTCCCGGGGCTTTAGGTTTTAGCACTCAGGAGTGACACCACTGGGATCTGCCCGAGGGAAAGCATTCTGGCTGATACCAGGAACGAGGATGGGCTGGAGGGCAGAGACCAGGTGGAAGGTCCTTTTTATGATTCCAGAAAAAAATGTGACTGCCCAGTGGGAATAGGAAGGAAAGGACAGATGCCTGTGGCAGAGTGGGGATAGACTCTCTGGGCACTGGAGAGTGATTGAGTGGAGAGAGGAGAGAAAAAGAACAGAGGTGCAGTGGTTCAAGATGACTCAGGCGGTGAGCTCCCATGAGTGTGAGGATAATGGTGTCATTTATCAAGAGTATTTGGTTTAGGGCAGCAGCATAGTGATAAATTTTAGTTCAGACCTTATTATCATTAGAGAAATAACTTACAGCTTTTCCACTATTCGATTGCAAATGATTAAAGATTCAAGACCTATCCCTGTGAGAGAGAGAAGTAATGGTTGGGAAACCAAACTCAACCAACTGTTGAGACACAGACAGTACACAAAGAGGGTAAAGAAGAGATGTACAGACCAACACGGAAAAAGGGAGAAAGAAGAAGGAAAAAGTGTATGGAGTTAAGACGGGGAAGAAATACAGATTGTGAGGAAGACAGACAGGCATGGTAAAAGAAGGGAGAAATGAGAGGCATATCAACAGAGAGATACGCTGAAAAAGGGACCAGCTCAAGTTTCTGGCATGAATAGGTTGGTTAATTTAAATTTCCAGTTCACTCGGGGTTTGCTCACAATTATAAGTTAATAATTTTTAAGAGAGTCTTGGAAGATTTATTTGCTTTCAGAGGTTAATTACTGTCACAGCTTCCCTGTTTTGTCAGGCTTCCTGTCAGCCTCAGTGGTCCTTGTGGGGGTGAATTGTGCCGCCCCCCAGGCTTCCTCCCCTTTCTCCCCAAAGGCAGACCCTCTTTGCACCTTCTCAGCATGACTTGCTTAACTCCTGAATTGTTTCCTCCCTAGGATTTGAGGCCGTTGTCAGACATGTTGAGGAAAAATGTTTTGCATTCTACCAGAGTTGCTCACAGATAATGACAACTCACTAAGTGACACACAGGCCGGAACTCTGGTAAGTCTCAACACGGCCTGTGCGTTTCTGGTTCCCATTTTACAGATGGGAGCCCAGAGGCTCAACCCGGGATCTAACTAGGTGCTCAAGGTCACCAGCAGACGGAGCTGGGAGAACAAGCTACTTCCAGATCGGGGAAGCCAAGAGTGGACTGACACTCTTGGGCAGGATCCCTTACGAAGATTTCAGGCGAATGAAACGCTGCCTCTGGAACACTTGGGAGCCCTCTATCTCTGGCACTAGAGAGCTCACTCTGAACCCTGCTCCCAAACTAACCCAGCCCTGGACAGAGTCAGAGGCATGAGAAGGAAGTAAGTTATCCGGGGTTAGGATTTCCCCTGGCACGGGTACCACCAGCGCCTTCAGCTTTTATATTTATTCTCTTCCCAGAGGGGAGATGGGCTCTCAGAGAGGTTAACCAACTTGCCCAAGGTCACCCAGCAGCCTGCGCGGGCCAGGGGCAACCCTCCGGCAGGGGAGGCGCCCGCGGCCAGCCCCGAGGGGCAAGGTCCCGGCAGCCGCCTCAGCGCCCACTCCGGCGTGCGCCCCGCCGCCGTCCCCGTAGCCGCTCCCGGGGCGCGGTGGCGGGGGGGGGGGGGAAGGCCGGGGCTGGGGGCGTGGAACCCGCGCAGCCCTGCCCCGCTGGCCGGGAAGGAGGACGATGCGCGGCGCGCCTAGGTGAGCGGGGGCCGGGGCTGGCACCTCGGGGTCCAGCCACCGCCGCCGCCGCCGCCACAGCCCCGCGCCCGCGCCGCGCGCCCGCCGGCCTCCCGGCGCGGGGGCTGGAGCCGGCACTCGAGGGGGCGGCGGGGAGGGCGCAGGCAGCGGCTGGGAGCGCGGCGGCGGCAGAAGCTCGGCTCGGCGGCTGGGGGTGGCCGCGGCACCGTGCCGGGCGCCTGGCTCCCTCGCCTCGGGCGGCGGGTAGGTGCGGCGGAGGCGGGCGCGCGGGGCCGGGGCCCTGGGAGCCCACGTGTGCGGGCGGGGGCGCGGCGGGGGCTGGCGGGCGCGGGCGGGAGCCGGGAGACCGCGCCCGGCCGGAGGGGTGGGCGTTGTGGCGGCTCCCGGGTGCGGAGGGTGGCGGGTGGTGTGGTGCAGGACGCGTCTCCGGCGTGGGACCGCCGCGGGCTCGGAGCCCGTGCCCTGCGCTTGTGTGTGTGAGTACTTGTGAAACTGCCTGTTTGTGCCCTGACTGTGTGTGTGTGTGTGTGTGAGAGAGAGAGAGAGAGAGAGAGGCGCGTAACGTAGCGCATCCATAACCGTGTGTGTAACTGGATACGTGTGTGTGGACTGGAAGCGTGGTCCTGGGTGTGTGGCCGAGAGTGTAACTCCCTCTCACTGCGTGTGTCTGTATGTGACAAGACAGGGAGGTTCTTGGTGCATACCTGGCTGCGCGTGTGAGTGACCGCGAGTGTGTGGGCTCGCTGTGCGGCATGAAGCGTTCACGGTCACTGCCAGGACTAGCTTCCCGCGGTTGTCTTTCACGGAATCCCAATCCCGGTTTCAGGAGCATTTCCCCTCAGCGTGCTCCCCAGCAGCGTGTGGCACTGTGCCGTTAGCTGCCTTTGAAAGAAGTGGCTGTGGAGCCCAAGAGGTGATGGCCCGCAGAGGTGGACAGGTCATGGCCACCAGCTCTTCTTCCTATAGTGCAAGGTTAAAGAGAAAATGTGGGCTTGATTTCCCATTTGGTGCATTAAACTGAACCAGAAAATGTTTCCTAGGTGGGCTTTGATGGAAGGACGCTGAGGCAGGCTTGCCCTTCTAGTCTAGATACTGCGGAGACGGGCTCCCTGAGTGGGGAGCCCCAACCCCCAGGGTCTGCCTGGTCCTCCGGTGGAACTTCGGGCTCCACGGTGAGGGAGGAGGAGCTGCCGTGTGCTGCTGGTGAGCACAGGTGGTGAAGGGAAAGGACACCGTGACGGATGCCGTGCCCTAGAAAGAAGGAAAAAGTCAGGACAGGGGATGAGACTCATTAGGTTCTGAGAAGCAGCTTTCACCCAGGAATGGATGAGGTGGAGAAAATTACTAAAAAGTAAAGAGAGTGTTCAGCATTCACAAGTCGTTTTTTAACATCTATTTTTTTTTTTTTTTTTTTAATTTTCCCATCCACCCTTACCCTAAACTCTCTTGTGTCTGCATCACTCCCCGCGCCCGCCCTGGGAAACGTCGCGAGCATCATCAATATGGCGCCTTTGAGCAGGTCGCCATTTCTGCCCCAGAACTGGTGCGCTTCTGAGCTCGCGGGAGCTTGGGGGTGTGTTTACTTCAGCGCCTGTGGAGCACGTGGAGGGCCCAGAGGAAAGTGGTGCTCTTGGTTCCTCTGATTTATCTGGATTTTATTCCTTAGAGCTGGTCCTTAATAGGGGTCACAGTGCCCTCACCACCAACAAATGGATTGTATTTCCTTCCACTCCACTTCTCCCTGACACTGTTCATACCCTTATCCCCTCCCCCAAGTTCTCTGATGGAAGGAGAGCACTTGAAACCCAGCAGAAGCGACCTGCTCCCTACCTCCTGACCCTCCCCCACCCTCTGTTATCGAACCACCAGCTGTGCCCCAAGTCACTCTGGTTGGGAACTGAAGTCACCTCATTGTATCTCCCCTTCATCATTGGCGGCCACAGCTGTGGGATCAGTGGGCGGGGCTTACCCGTTTTCCCTCAATACCTCTTTAATCTAATTTTGTTTGTTTTTTTTTATTCCCACTGACACCACCTTATCAGGTGAACCCCACATTAAGGGATTTCCAGAGATAGGAACAGCTGAAGACTGTCATCACTGAAAAAATGCCAAGCACACACACAGAGGAGACCGTTGATACTATCGCTGTCTGACTAATAGGTTAAGTAAGTTCTTGGGAAGGATCTGGACATTGTGAGGCTGGTAGCTTCCTGTGACCTAGATGGAGTCTCTGGGCCTTTCTAAATTTCAGTTTCTTTATCTGTGAAATGTGATAGAAGATTTCAACTGGAATCTCATTGCTAGATCAATTCCTAAGGTTTCTTCCAGCTTTACAAGTCTCTGATTGTCATTGGTGTTCCTTCAGTGAGAAACATGTCCCTTGGTGACTTAATGGTTGTCTTCCAATACCTACCCATCTTTTTTTAAAAGTTCCGGTGTCTTAGGGGAAGGGATCCAGGCAAAAGGGTGAAGGGTGGAAACACTATTGACTTAAATTTGTGGTTGAGGGTCAACTGCTCACCTTAAGCCTTTGGCTTGAAGGGGTCTTAGAGGTCACCTATTCTCACGTCCCATCAAGTGCCAGAATCTTCCATGCCATCACCTTTTTGAAAATTGAAAAAGTGTGTTAAGTCTTATTAAGAAAACTTCACATAATGTTGTAATTCAGGGTTTCTCAGATCTTTGTGCTACTGACATCTTGGACTAGATAATTTTTTGTTGTTGTGAGGGACTGTGCTGTGCATCACTGGCTGGTTACGAGCGTCTCTGGTGCCCATTAAATGACTATAGCAACCACCCGTCGTGACGACAAAAACGTGCCCCGGGGGGGAACAAAATCTTTTCCTACCCCCAGTCCCTGTTGAGAACCACTGCTGTAATTCAAACACAAGTCTTGCGGCCTTATACCCAAATACGTCCTGACAAAGTAATTTAATAAGTCATTGAACTGGTATGTTGCTAGCTGCTTTTCTACCCCCTCCCAGCTTAATCACCCGCACACATTTACCTTTATCCTGCCTGGTTTCTCACTGCCTTGTTGCTATGCCTGGAAATGCTCAAGATGTTGCTCAAGGCTGAGAAGCATTTTGGAAACATTATCATAATAATCCTAATAGCTCACATTAATCCAGCCCTTATTTTGTGCCAGGCACAGTTCTAAATGCTTTACGTGGATGATCTCATTTAATCTTCATTAAGAGTCCCGTGAGAGAGATACTTTTGTTCTCCCCGCCCCTTGGCAGAGGTGAGGTAACTCAGACTTCGAGAAGTGGGGTAAGGTGTTCTGAGTCCTCTGAGCTGTGAAGCGGGTGAGCTGGGTCTGACTCTGGAGTCTCTTCTGAGCCCCCACACTAAACTCTCTTCCATGAATGGGATCTTGACATTACAGGGTGGAAGTGAACTGAAACAGCTCCTAGTTTGGTTTGTAGAACCGAGTCTGCTTCTAGGAAGGCTAGAAACTGAACTTGGCAGTTGCATTCACTTGAAATAATGTAATTTCTCCCTTTTTCTTCTCCTCTCTCTTTGTCACTCATGTTATTCAGAAAGAGCTCCAAGGTGTAAGCAGGGGAAGAGAGGTGGTAGCAGGGCTGGGTACACTGGGAGCTGAGGGGGCTCAGGGGAAAGGAAAGATGGAGAAAAAGGAGCAAACAATGGATGAGGCATTTCATTTTCCAGTAGGTTCTCACCGTCATGGAAACTTTAGCTATCTCTTTAGTCCTCACAGCTGAAGTTGCCATATTTCTATCAACTCCTTCCTTCTGTCTTCTTAGCCTGTTCTCTTGTTCTTCCATGCTGCATAATATTTTCTTGCTACTGAGGCAGTAGATGAACACGTTGGGACAGAAGAACATAAAATGCAGTGTAAATGGCCATCAAGCAGGCTCACTGCTGGGGTGAGAATGATGACCTTACCCATTACTGTTAAGCTTGACAATCCAAGGCTGACTGAGAAGGCTGACTCCTGCTTCTATGCCCCTGTATCAGCAAAGCCAAAGCTGGATAGTTGCCAGCAAATAAAGCGTAGAGCTTTGGTTTTGTAAGCTTCACAGATTGGTTAAGACAGCGGCTCTCAAACTTTGGTGAGCTCCAGAATCATCTGTAGGATGGGCTGAAACACAGATGGCTGGTTCCCATCTCTAGAAGTTCTGATCCAGTGCTTCTGGTTTGGGGTCTGAGAATTTGTATTTCTGGCTACGATCTCAGGTGATGCTGATGCTACTGGTCCATGACCCACAGCATGAGGACCACAGGGTAAGGACTGAGAGAACTGAATAACGCTCACAACCCATCCACCTGAAATGTTTTAATAATAAAAGCCTTTGCCTTTTCTGAGCTGTGGTACTTCTAGGTTAGGTTAATTCTTTTTTTTCTTTAAAGATTTTATTTATTTATTTGACAGAGATCACAAGTAGGCAGAGAGGCAGGCAGAGAGGGGGAAGCAGGTTCCCTGCTGAGCAGGTAGCCCGATGTGGGACTCGATCCCAGGACCCTGGGATCATGACCTGAGCCAAAGGCAGAGGCTTTAACCCACTGAGCCACCCAGGCACCCCTAGGTTAGGTTAATTCTGATCTTAGGTCTTTTCGCACTCCCTACTTCTCACACCGCCCCATGGCTACTTCTGTTAGAAGGATAAAATCCCTCATTACTCACAGGATAATCCAAATGAAAAGTCCTTAAACATCTTATCTGCTGCCAGATACTTTCTGACCAGTCCCTCTTAGATTAAGAAAGGTTTCTTATCTGGCCATCCAGCTTTGGTTTCCTTGTAGTTGCTTCGCATTTTTTTCTCTGTGTTCAGACCAACAGTAGCCCAACCAAGAAGCCCAACAGAAACTCAAGTCAGAACATTTACATGTGACCGATGACATTTTTAAAAAATCTTGATTAGTTTTTCTTTTCCAACCAGATTTCAAGCTCCATTAACCCATTCCTTCTTCTCGACACAGCTTTTGCCTCTTCTTGCACAAGCACACATCCCCACCTGAACAAGGTGACTCCAAGTAGTGGGCCAGAAAGATCTAATGGTTGTGAAGCTCAGAAACTCATTATTTAAATAATGTTTGCCAGGTGCTGTGGCATTGTGTACACCTGGCCTTCTTGGATTTGTATACCAAAACCCTGGGAGAAGGTAGGTCTCTCTCATTTACAGACAGAGAAACCAAGGCCTGGAAACTTGAATAAAACTCTTATGTTAGTTAGGATAATTGTATTATGAAATATGTGTATTAGTGGACCCATAATA